TGAGTCACAAGACATAGAGGAACCAAGCTGGTACTAACTAGAAAGCTTCCTCCCTGCTGGCTGGCTTTTATAAGGCTGCAAAGTGCTATGTAGGCCACTGGGGGGAAAAAAAAAACTCAACAACAGCTTTATCCAGCTGTTACCCTCATGATACAATAACAACTGGCCTGGCAAGGTATGTGTATGGTGCAATCACAGCATGAATGTTATGAGAGTAACTAACCAATTACCTGAAATTCAGGCCTACTCTAAAACAGGAAACACAAACCTGCTCCTGTAATCATAACCATGACTTAATGTCTGGGAAGCTCATGAGCCCCAGGGAAGAACCAAGTGGACACAGTATCAAACTGCCCTCTAAGTAGGTTAGTTCTACACCCATAGGTTAGTGTAGCTCGCACTACTTAGTAGAGAAGTTTCTTTGTGCAGTGGATAGCGGTTAATCCAGACTCAACTGGTCAAAGTGTCAAGTACCTGTGGAATATTCAGCCATGCCCCCAAGGCTCAGAGAACACAGCAGAAAAGGGGAAGAGGGATAAAAGACTTAGAGCAGAGACTGTGGAGGATCAAGATGGACATGGCAGGACCGCTGTACTCGTGAACGGACAGCAGCTCTGGTTGCTTACAAACCATCAAGCCAGTCAACACTCCATCATGGAAGGTGAAGGGGCTCATGAGTCCCCATCCTTAGCTGAGGAACTATTAAGAGCTGAGTGTTGTATGGAGGGGGAAGGCTCCATTCTTTAGGGGTGTGGTTCCTGGTAGGTTAATCACGATCTAGTGAATAGCTACACACTCTTCTGTTGTCTATGCACAGCACAAACTAGACTCTGGGTTTTAAACATGGCTATGAAGTTGGGAGGGAGGATGGAGGAGTGGGAGGTGGGAGGGATGCAGAATAATTAGGGGTTAATGTGATCAAAATACACTGCGTTAGTAAAAGATTATATCAAACCAAAACAAGTGAGTTAACTTGGGTTCTTTCAGAAATGGTTATATAGCTGCCTTGGAGTCATGAGTTGTCAAAATATTTTAATCATACTATCTTGTGCTGTTAATATGGAATAATGTCAGCCAAAAGTCACTGCTGCAGCCCCTCAAAATCTGCTGCATTTCTATCAGCTGAAGTTTATGATATACTTATCTTTTTGCTGTTCTGAAGAATATTACTGCCAGTGCTTACCAATAATTATATTGTTTTATATACATAATCATATGTAACTCACATACTCTTACATAAAATGAGGAAACTCATGTGAGTCTAAATGAAAACATAAAGGTTACTCATAAGGATTTTAGCACATCTTAAAATTGAGCTTTCTAAATGAGATGAATCTATTAGAAGGATTAATTTTTTTCTCAACCATGCAGAAAACCATCTCATTTCCTACTTGCCTTATATTCTTCTACTTTGTCTTCATCTGTGTCTCCTTCATCCACACACTTCCGTTTTGAATTTGGAGCAGGGGTATCATAGGAAGCCCTGAAAAGTAAGCCACAACTATCACACAATACAAAGGTGCATATGGATCTGCTTGTATTATTAACAAGCTATAGGAACAAAGTCAAATGTTTCCTGATTAAATATCTATTTTTTCAGCTTATAAATCACCCAAAAAGTCACAGGCAATAATTTGTAGCCTATCTTTATAAGAGAGAAACCAAGTGAAAAAATAAGCTACTATAAAGATTGTATTATGAAAAGAAACTTTTTTTTTTTTTTTTTTGGTTTTTCGAGACAGGGTTTCTCTGTGTAGCTTTGCGCCTTTCCTGGGACTCACTTGGTAGCCCAGGCTGGCCTCGAACTCACAGAGATCCACCTGGCTCTGCCTCCCGAGTGCTGGGATTAAAGGCGTGCGCCACCACCGCCCGGCGGAAAAGAAACTTTTAAACTGTATGTCATTTACACTAGTTTATGTGTATGTTATACTATATACTATAAGCAAAACTGATACAATTGATAAACTAGAATTTAAAAAATGACATGTTTTCTGAATTATCAAATGAATACTACTTTTAGGTTGTATTCTTTTATAATTTCATAAAAATTATAATTTATAATTTCACATTACTTAGGGTATGTAAGCTAATTCTTAGTGTAACATTTCACTTCTACCTACTTTATAAATAAGAACTTAACGTTTTCGGAAAGTAATATTTCATAATTTCAAACTGACAGTAAAAAAACTGTTTCCAAAATCTCCATTTTCACGATTTTCCTAACAACACATTTATACCTACAATTAATTGTTCAGTAAAAATCAACCCTCAATAGGGGATTCCAGTCCTATGAGGTTCAGGCAGGGGTGCTGCAAGGCCAGCACGGGGTACATGGCTGTGTCTCACTCCCCCCAAACATCCCCCATGAATAAGCACAACTGAAAAATAAAGCAAGTGATCCTTTCACACTGTAACCACGTCACTAAAACACAGTTGCTCACATACCTGCACGTTTCCCTGGTCTCAGCAATCTCCCTCTGCTCATCTTTGCTATTTAACACAGCACCGATGCTGTCTGCACTTTCAGCTCCCAACTAGGAAGCAAAAACAAGGTTTTAAACACAATGCACTCTTCATACACTGCAAAATGTGTTGCTAATTTTAATATATCAAATAGTCTATAGAAAGCAACCTCTCCCATAACACACTATGCATCGAGTTGAAGACAAACTCTAAGTGAACTGGTAGATCATTTTAATTATGAATGACTTTGCCAGCTGGAAAACATTTTATGCATTTGGTTATATTTGAAACTAAGATGATTACTTTTAGCCAATTCTGAATAAAAAACAATTTAGCAGTAGTAGCAATAACCAAAAAAGGCAAAGCACTTCATATGGACTGCTGCATAAACTGTATTCTATCCCATGCTCTCACAAAAATTTATTCAGTTTTATTAAAGCAAAGATTTTAATAAAGTTTACTATAGCTTAAAAACGGTAATGTCTCCAGGCAGTGGTGGTACACGCATTTAATCCCAGCATCAGGAGGAAGAGGCAGGCGAATCTCTGTGAGTTCAAGACCAGCCTGGTCTATACATCAAGTTCCAGGACAGCCAGGACTGTTA